CCAGGCGGGTCTCGAACCTGCGGGCTCAGGCAATTCACTCACCTCAGCCTCCCAAAGGTGCGGGATTACAGGCTGAGCCACCGAACCCAGCTACTCCACATCTTTAAAATAAAAAAAATGCATTGTGAAATAATTGTCACAATTAAGTGTATTGAAACATCTGTCACCTCACATCGTTATCTTTTATATTTTTAGTGAGAGTGCTTAAAATGTATTCTCTTAGAAAATTTCAAGTATATATTACAGTATTGTTAACTGTAGTCACCGTGATGTACATTTGATTCTCAAAACTTATTTATCATATAACTGAAAAACTTAATCCTTTTACTACTATCTCCTCATTTCTCCCACCTCCCAGACCCTGGCAACCACTTTTTACTCTCTTTCTGTGAGTTTACCTTTTTGTTTGGTATCATGTATAAGTACAGTATCTGTCTTTCTCTGTTTAGTTTATTTCACTTAGTGTAGCACCCTCCAGGTTCATCCATGTTGTCACAGAAGGCAGGATGTTCTTCTTTTTATGACTGAATAATATTTCATTGTGTGTTTTCATTTGTATTATATATTTTCAATCTGATGGATCAATTTTGGTGGGCTTTTTTTTTGTTGTTCTTATTGTTCCTTGGAGATATTTTAAAGCTTGTCTTTTATGTCTTCAAATACAGTATTCATAGTATTTTTTAACCCATTTTGACAATCTTTGTTTTTAAACTGGTACTGTATTTAGTAAATTTATTTTTATATTATTATTGTTAAAATTAGATTTATGGCTACCATCTTGCTATCTGCTTTTTATTTGTCCCATCTGACACTTTTTAATTTTACATTTCTTGACTTCTTTTTTGTTACTAAAATATATTTTGATATCTCACTTTATCTTTACCTTTAACTCTTTGCTACTGCTTTTAAAATATTCTTTATTATTATCTTAGAAATTTGCAAAATGTGTTCCTTCCTTATTGTTGCCTACATTAAATTAGTGTTTATACTGACATCCCAAATAATACAACACCTTCATACCAGTTTAACTGAGTTTCATTGTTTAGAGCTCACTGAACTTCTTTCATCAAATTAAAAAATTCTCAGCAATTAGTCTTTCAATTTTTTATCTTCTTGTAAGTCTCAAATTACAAAAATATTGGACCATCAATTATAACCAGAATCTTTCTTTGATCTATTTTGTTTTACTTTTTCTTTGTACTTAAGTTTGAATATTTTCTGTTGGCCTTCAATTTGAGTTCAATAATCTTTTTTCTGTATTTATTCTGCTTTTAAATCCATCTAACACAGTTTCAATTTTATATATTGTATTTTTTCATCTCCAGAATATCCATTTGACTATAAAATAATTTGATTTCTGTTAAAATAATTCTATCTTTTTGACCACTTAAAATTTTTATTTAACCAATTATTAATCGTACTTATTTTAAAGTGTTTGTGAATTCAAATTTCTATATCATCTCTGCATCTGCTTTTTCTGATTATTTTATGTCCTTGTTTTTGGCTATGCTTTACTATTTCATTCCATGATCAGTCCTTTTTTTTTATTGCATGCAGAGCATTGTGAATGATACGCTGCAGATTCTCTTGGTTAAGTTATAGTCTTAGTACATTTTGTGTTGCTATCAAAGAATATCTGAGACTGAGTCATTTATAATGAACAGAAGTTTATTGGTCAACAGTTCTGGAGGTTGAGAAGTCCAGATGCCCTTGCACTGGCATCTGGCAAGGGCCTCTTGCTGCACCACCCAATGGTGAAAGGCTGAAAGGCAAAGAAGAAAAAGGACCCAAACTCACCATTTTCCATGGCATGAATCCCATCTTGAGGGCAGAGTCTTCATGGCCCAATTACCTTCCAAAGGTCCTGCTTCCTAAAACTGCCACAATGATAGCCAGATTTCAACATGAATTTTGAAGTGGACACACATTCCAGCTACAGCAGTTACAGGAGTTTTTGACTTATTTAGCTAATTGTCAAGGCTCATTTTTAGACTTTTTTTTTTTTTTGGTTAGTCTAATTCCCTCCAATTCTCTTTAAATCAGAGGACTGTCTATCTTGGTAACCTACTGTCTAAACTCCAACTTTGTAGCAGTCACATACACTGATTTCTGTTGCTTCTCCCCAGCAAGACTGCCACTGTCTACTTGGCCCTATTTCTCTTCTCAGGATGATGAAAGTTGAGATTAACATGAATTTTGCTTCTTGTGTTTTTTTTTTTCGCTTTTAAGATTCATATTTTGTGGTGGTTGCCTTCTAATTTCTGCAAACCTGCATAATTATTTTATAGTTTGCATCTGATAACATCTAAAATATTTACGAGGTTTAAAATTTTTTTTCATTATAGCTTGTTTTTAGGTGGTACCTCTCTCCTTATGTGCTTGCTTTTTTTTTGAGTGGAGTTTATTGATTTTGAAAAATTATATTTACTAATATTTTGAATACTAAGATGGCCTTTTCTCCTTCTTCTGGACAAGAATATTATTTGCTTTTTCAAGGAAACTGACGTCACTTTGAGATCACTACTGCTATATATCTGGTTCATTGATTGAGGTTCCCAAGGACTATGTAGGTAGTGCAAACTTTCATTACAGATTGACATGATGGCTGCTATGCTTCTGATTCAGCTTTACCTTAAGCTTTGTAGAATTTGGAGCCCCCATTTATCATGGAGAGTATTTCTTTTTAAAATCTTTCAACTTTGGTAGGCCCTGATCTTTGATTTTTGTTTTCTTCAACTAGTTAAGCTCTCAAAATAAAACTTCAAATTATTTGGGATGGGCAAATAACCTTAAACAAAGTCACCCTGGTGCTCTGCTTGTCTTTTGGGGTTGTTTTTGTCCTTAGTTTGTGTTGGTAATTTCTTTCTATCTTGTCAGTTCTCTAGTGGTTACAAAAGGTGTTTGTGTGTTATCCATCACTTTTGTTTTCAGTAGGAGTGATGGGTCAAATAACTTAGAAATCTAGAAAGAGTTTCTATATTAATGTAAAAATTGTACAAGTTAATAACTACATTCATACATTTAGTTGAAATGTAATTGATTTGTTTTTATTAATGTTATCTAAAATTAATTTTCTTGAAATAATTTAGTTCAATAAATACTAATGTTTATGCTTTCTATGATTGAACTAAATATAAAAAATGTTGTTTTTTTTTAACTTCCTCTGTCGTTTGGATATTTATTTTTCACAGAACCCAACAGGAACAAATGTTCAAAATATGCTCCACTGGAGTCAGGTATAACTGTTAAAATGCATTTTTTTTTTTTTTTGAGTTGGAGTCTCACTCTGTCACCCAGACTGGAGTGCAGTGGCTGCTCTCGGCCACTGCAGCCTCAACCTGCTGGGCTCCGGCGATCCTTCCACCTCAGCCTTCCAGTAACTGGAACTGTAGGTGTGTGCTACCACGCCCGGCTAATTTTTTGATTTATTGTAGAGATGAAGTCTTGCCAATTTGCCCAGGCGGGTCTCAAACCCGCGGGCTCAGGCAATTCACTCACTTCAGCCTCCTAAAGCACAGGATTACAGGCTGAGCCACCAAGCCCGGCTTAAAATGCATTTTAATGCAATTTAATTTACACTGTTCATGGTTTATCTCTTTAAGGGATCAGTCATAGCCATAGAATGATACATTTAGAAGGATAAAATGAAATTATTACATATTTGTATAATTTTTTATAGCTTATTAAATATGTTAATATCATAGTATAATAGATCCTCCAAACCTAAGCAATAATCAGAGCAATATACATATCTATGTTTTTACAAATGAGAAAATATTAGAACAGTAGACTGGAATCATTTAGGCCAGGTCCTTCAATTGACTTGCCCAAAGATTCAAAGCTATTATTTTTTAAAAATCTAAGGCTAACACATCCAATAAAATCCTAACATTCAAGATCTACAAGGAACTCAAAGAAATTGAAAGGAAAAAAAACCAAATAACCCCATAAATTGGGCAAAGGACATAAACAGACACTTCTCAAAGAATGACACACAAGCGGTCAATTAACACATGAAACAATGCAAACTAACTAATAATCAGAGAAATGTAAATCAAAACTACAATGAGATACCACCTAACACCAGTAAGGATCAAAAAATAACAGGTGCTAGCTTGACTGCAGAGAAAACAGGACGCTTCTAAACTGTTGGTGGAAATGTAAGCAATGAGGGATGACAATTAAGTTCACAAACTTATCCTAGGAAAAAATGCTACATATCTCATTGCTGAATATCACTATGGTCACCTTTGAAGTACTCTCTTTAGAAGCTATGCTCCAACACCAGTGCCTCATCCCCTTGTCAAAGCAATTTTGGAGCTCTTTTTCTGACATGACCATCATAGCTGTCATTGTATTACTCTTGATGTCCTGAATGTCATCAAAATGTCTTCCTTTCAATATTTCCATTATCTTTAGGTAAAGAAAAAAGTCTTTGGGGGGAAGATTAGGTGAGTAGGGAGGGTGTTTCAATACAGTTTGTTTACTGGCTAAAACTCCCTTACAGACAGTGCTGTGGGAGCTGGTGTATTGTCATTAATGCAAGAGCTCCTTCAGGATCATTTTTGCACATACATTTCTCATGCCAATATTTCCGTTAAGATTTTCCTGTTTCTCTATCAATGTTTATTTGGTCTGCTATGTTTCTCACCGTCAGCGGACCATTTTGACACACAATTCAATGAATTTTTGCAATACTTTCATCACTTCTGCTCGTTACTGCACTGGATAAAGAAAATGTGGTATATGTAACAATGAAAAATTATGCAGCCATAAAGAAGAACAAAATCATGGCTTGTGCAGCAACTTGGATGCAGCTGGATACCACAACACTAAGTGAACTATCACAGACCCAAAGAACTGAATACTGCATGTTCTCACTCATAAGCAGGCCCTGAACACTAGTCACACTAGTGCGAGTTTGAGATTGGCAAATGCTAGGCACTGCTAGAGGAGGAAGGAAGACAGAAAGAGAGAGAGAGAGGAAGGGAGGATGGAGAGTGGGGTGTTTGGCAACATAATGGGTACCTGGTCCACTACTGAGGGGAGAGGGCCAGCTAGAAACCCAAACTTCACCTGTGTGCAACCTATTTATGTAGTAAATCCCTACTTGTAACTTACAACTCTAAAATAAATTTTAAAAAGAAAGAAAAAGAAAAAGTAACAAAAGATAATGAAACTCTATAGTATTATAGATGTAATAGTTTATGTTAAAATATATATAAACTAAAACATATTGAAGTATGGACAAAGGGAAGGAAGGTAGACATTTTATTTCAAAATATTGGCAAATGGAAATAGAACTTTTGCAAATTTTCAGGTAGATCCTCTATTTAGACACCAACCCATAACAGTTAACTCTGAAAAGGCAAGAAGTAATAAAAGTTAGATGTTTTTATTAAAAAAAAAAACAACTAAGACTAGAATAGACTCACCTATGCCTAATCTGAAATACTTACTAGACTGCACTTTCTCCTCTGTTAAATTGTGAGCTCCTTGAGGATTGTGAGCATATTGGCTCACTTTTGTATTTCCAAGGCCAAGAGTTCTTGGTATATCGTAGATACTCAACTAATATTTGTTCAATAAATGATATTTAAATCCAATGTGAATGTAATCTTAATGTTGAACACAAGATAACATAGTAGAAAGGGCATTTTCCTGAAATCAGAAGACTAGATTTTAAATCTTTTTTCTGAACTGTAGTGTCAGGATGACATTGAACAGCTCATTTAATATTTCTGAATCTATTTCCTCAATTTTAAAAGTGAAATTAATAATAAATCTGTGACCTAACTAAAAAATTATGAGAATTAAGTAGAATAATGATTATGAATATTCATTAAAGTTAATAAACACTAGATAAATGTAAAGTATCATTAAAATATTGCATATGCTTTCTCATCTACAAAAAATACAATCACTTTGGGGTTTAGAATTTTAACATATGAATTTTCAAACCATAGCATGGGGGCAAACATTTCAGATAGGAGTAGCTGATAAAAAGCCTTTTTTCATGAGTATTTCTGGTAGGCTCAGGTAAGAAACAAGGATAACAAGGAAAAGGGGCCAGAAAAATAATAGGTAGGAGTATGTGTGCCACTGTAAGGATCTGGCATTCACTCTGTGTGAGATCGGCAGCCACTGAAGGATTCTGAACAGAGAGGTGACGTGATATGATTTACACTTTTTTGTTTGTTTGTTTTTGAGTTGAAGTCTCACTCTGTCGCCCAGACTGGAGTGCAGTGACCACTCCCGGCCACCGCAGCCTCGACCTACTGGGCTCCGGTGATCCTTCCACCTCAACCTTCCAAGTAGCCGGAATTACAGGCATGTGCTACCACACCCGGCTGATTTTTTGATTTATTGTAGAGATGAGATCTCGCTGCCCAGGCGGGTCTCGAATGCGGGAGCTCAGGCAATCCACTCACCTCAGCCTCCCAAAGGCGCGGGATTACAGGCTGAGCCACCAAGCCCGGTTTGATTTACACTTAGGGAACACTTCGGCTGTTAGGTTGAGTAGACTGCAGTGGAGATAGAGTGGAAGCGGTAAATGAGTAAGGAAATTATTGCAACAATCCAAACAGAAAATAATGATGGCTTGGACTGACATGTTGATAGTAGAGGTGGTGAAATGGTTGGATTCTGAATATACATATATTATCACAAACATATATTCAACAAGGTTTAATAATGGATTCTATAAGAAGAGAAAGAGACATTTCTGAAATTTTTGACCTTTGTAATTTAAACATGAAATTGCCATTAAAGTAGATCAAGAAGTTTAATGGGGGAGAGGTTTGGAGAAAAGGTAAAATGTTCTGTCTTGGAGATGTTAAGTTTTAGACATTCAAGTGATGAATTTGAGTAAGCAGTTGTATAGAGGAACCTAGAGTGTAGGAAGAGAGTGGGTGAGAATACAAATAGAGTGAGTATAGAGAAGAGGAGCAATAATTGAGTGCTGAAGTATGAAAAAGATTAAAATGTCAAGCAGCAGAGGTTAAATCAGACAAAAAAACCTGAAAAGGAAAGTAAGTAAAAATTAAAAAGAGCAAGGAAATATGGTATTATAGAAACTAAGAGAAGAAAAGATCTCAAGAATGAGGGGATGTACAACTATATCAAGTACCATAACATGAAAATATTCCTCAGAATTGACCAGAGTTTTATAAGTGTCATGGTCATCAATAACCTTGACCAGTTTTAGTGTAAGGATGGACATAGTATGTGCTGGTAAATGTCTAATAACTGGTTCTCTTTGTGGGAGTGGAGAAAGAAGACTTGCATTGAAGCATTTGCTTATTTACATGTTGTTTATATTTCTACCATGATTGATTTCCTACCAATGTGATGCCACTACACTCAGAGTTGGAAAGCAATGGCCATAATTGGCATTTGCTGATATAAGCTGGCTCTAGTACATCATTGGATAGAAGTGTAAGGTTAATTAAAGTGAATTTAACTGATGATGGGATTAGGATTGCGTAATATTATAAACAAACTTTCATTGAATTTTAAGTGGTTAACATGGTAAATTATATTTTATGTGTATTTTACTATAATTACAAAAATGATTGAGGAGAAAATTGGAGATAGTGATAACTCTTCTCTACAATTTTGCTGTAAAGGAAGTAAAGTTATTTGTCTAGGGCTTGGTGGGAAATGAGATCTATCTATCTATCTGTCTATCTATCTATCTATCTATCTATCTATCTATCTATCTATCTATCCATCCATCCATTCAACCATCTACCTACCTGTCTATCTGTCTATCTACCTATATGAGAGAACTAACAACATGTTTTTATATTAATGAAAATGGCCTAGTAAAGAGAGGAAATTTTATAAAGTAACAGAGAAAAGAGTGGATTGCTAGGATAGATAACATCTAGTAAACTAAATTATAAGATTTAGCTAGGTGTGTAAATAATATATGTAAGAAACAGAAAGAATATACAGTATCTGCTCATTTGCTGAATAAGTGTATTAATATAGTAAAAGACTCTTGATTTAGATATTTTAAAAATTCTTCTGTCTTTTTATTAAAATAGGAAGCAGGCTTCAATAAAAGAGAGTATGGATGAGAGAAAGTAGCGGCCAGTGGAAAGAGGAGAAAGTAATTACCTAAAAGAGTGGAAAAAGAAATGGACTGGGGAATTATAGCTGGGCATAATTAACAACCTACATTAGTTTCATAATGATAAATTTAAAATGAGTTCTGCCTCCAGTTTTGTTCAATCTTATTAGTATAGGTGGAGAACTGGATTTTTCTAGAGTTGTGTTTTTGTGAGGCAAGTAGGACAATATAATAGAAGCAGAGACATGTTGAGTAAATGTAAGCAAATCGTTTTAATGATTGTGGAATTTCAACTGGTTAAGAGTAGGGACATTAAGAAAATAAGATATAGTAAAAAGGGGGGAGGATGAATGTATTCAGGATCCTGACAGAGTTTAAGGATTTTTGAGGTTGATTTACTAGAAAGAATGAGCAGGTAATTTTCACAAAGCAAAATGAACAAAAATTAGATAATGGAATGACTGGAGTGTTGAAGATTTATAATATGATCATAGACTGAATGGTTAGTGCAGGGTGGAGAACAAGATTATTGAAGGAGAACAATTCAAGAAACTTAAAGACCAGGTTGTTGGAAGGATTAAATCACTCCAAAGTGGATGTAGTTTTAGAAAGAATGACAGTTATGAGTAACAGAACAAGCAGAACCACCTGAATTCTAATAGATGATAACAATGGCAATACCTAATATATGGGAGAAAAATGTAGCACCACTTGAAAGAGCTGCAGGGGAAGAAGTATTTTCAGGGAAAACTGGAATTCAATAGAGCAGGAAAATAAAGGGACCATTCAGAAAAGAAGGTTTAAGATTTAAATTGATGATGGAATTCCAGATGGTAGAGAGAGTTTTAGGAGTTGGGAAGAGTTGGGAAGAGGCAGAATAGAAAATGTTTGGAGCTTTATAATGTTTAGCATACCAAAAATGATGGGTAACCTGAGAGTTTGACCTTCTTGTGATGAAAACATAATCAAGGAGAAAATAGGCATAATCAAATGAGATCTAATAGATTAGTTTAATTTTATTTTTTAAATAAATATGTGAGTTGCAAGTCAGGATTAGTTACATAAGCAGGTTTCGTGCAGGTGAAGTTTGAACCTCCAAATGGCCCTTACTTCCCTGGTTTAGAAAGTGGTAGTGAGGCTGTGAGTATGCAGGTGGAAAGCAAGGAGTGGCTTCTGGGACATACTCTTGAGCTCTATTGTTAGAAACAAGGTTGTTTAGGGGCATGTTATCTTAGTCCTAGTGCAAGACCTCTGTTGATGAACCTCTGGATTTCTGAGGAAACCTGATGTTCCCCAAACACACAGGCCCTCTTAGGGTAGTAAAAGGCCTTAAGGATATGTGTATTTGTATGAAGACGATAGAGTCATATTATTTAGATACCCTTGCCCTCACTCCCAACTCCTTCCCCTTACGTTTCCCAAAGAAAGAAGGAGCAAAGAAGTCCACCTGCACAAATACCAGATGACCAAGTACAAAGGGAGAGTATGTGCAGTGCATACCTAACTTGCATCAACTGCCACTATAATGAACAAATGATATGGTCTTATTTTTTTCTCTTTCAGCTTTTAAACTCTATTCGCTTGAAAGCTTTTGACTGTGGCAGTCCTGATCTGAACTTGGTTAATTTTAATCAGGGACATAATTCTGTAAAAACTAAAAACTCCCTTCCTTCCTGTAGAACAAGTATCATCTGTAGATCCCTAGAGTATAATAACACAGTAAGAAGGACCAGAAGCAAATGTAGATTATGTTGATTTGGAGCCATACTACTGCATCCAACCAAAGCAGCTTTTCCATATTGTGTTTATAATATTCTTGGATCTATACTTGGTTAAATAAGAAATAAAAGACATAATATATTTCTTGGCTCTAATATCAGTTATTCTATTTAGGAAGATAAGCCATGCACTTATAAATAATTATTAAAAACTTAGACTCAGTAAGAATGTGGTAAAAATTTATAAGCATAATGACAAAATTATTGAAGTATTAAAACCCAAGTCTGTTTGACTTTATGCTTTTCTACCATATTTTTCTGCCTCAGCTAAACTCCAGGTCTGATGTGGTCCATTCATGTAAAAGTCTGAAGTCAGTATTGAAGATCAGATTCAGTGATTTCAGAGTTGATCTTTATTGTGAATATTTACAATTTATTGGTTAACATGCTGACAGTAATACAGCCACAGAAAATTTGATTAAAATACTTTCATGTTTTATAAATAGAACTGAAATTACCTTTGTTAAATGTTTGAATACTAGTAGTTAAGACAAACTATCTAGTTTTGGTTTATATATTATTTATTTCCAAATAAAACTTGTAATACCTATTTATTCTTTCATACTTTTGCTTCCACAAATGCATTAAGTTGAATTCATTAGATTCAACTTATTTTAAACAGTGTTTCAACTCATTATTTAAAAAGTAGTAAATAGAACCTTTTAATGAATTTTTCCTATAAAATCTTTTTTATTCATTTATTTTTAGACAACTTCTCCATGGTACAATATGACAAATATGAATGTGGCAACTGCAACTTGGAATGGTGAAAGTGATTTGGTGACTGATCCTGAAGATGTTAAAATTTTACTCTCTGAAATCACACACCATATTTACCATAAAACAATTTCTTATTACAATCATATAGACTTTTGTTTGGATTAGATGTCGATGATCAATTTTAATATGAAATCATTAATATTATCCAAGACAATGTATAAAGAACCATGGCACTCTGTGTTTAAGGATCTATATCATCCCTACTAAAATCCAATCATTCTTACTATGTATGTCTTTTCACTTTAAAAAATAAAGTATGTGATTCTTTTATTTTCCTGTTGCCCCAAGACCCTCCATTCATTAAATCAGTGAGATTTAGTGTCGCAGGAGAAATGGCAAATTATAAACCAGCCCAAAGAAGTCTATTGAGCTTTAAATTTTAATTTAAATAACCAGAAATAATATTCTTTAGCATTTTCAATCTTAGGAGATAGCTTTTTAAGAAATTTTTTTTCAGAAGAACATGAGCTTATATTATATTGCAAAAAATAGAGTTTGGAGGAATACCTGGTGATATGAAAGTTAATTTTCCTCTATATTGAATGAAGAGTAAAAATACATCAATCTATGTAACGACTAGTCTTGTGAGCACTTCAGGCCAAGTCCTAGAGGTTGGGAGATTATAGAATCTATAGAGGGATTGTGTCTCACTTTTCTGAGTAGATAGCCTGGGGAGATCGAAGTTGCCTTTCCAGTCAAATATGTGTTAAGAGTAGCAATGGTTGCATTATATTTCTAGGTAAATAGGTTTGAGAGTGGCTTCACAACATATCATGCTCTTTAACTTAGTGCATTTAAGATCCGTGAGCTTCCTATACACCAGTGAAGTGTAGATATGTTTAAGAGAGCACTGGAAAATGGAAACAAGCCTAAGTTTTGGAATGAAAGGATATCAGGAATAAATGCAGCACAAGTAATAAAAACCCAGACTGTGGTAAGACAATGGGCATCAGCAGCAGATGTACCCTGAAACCTTTCTCAAAATTGCTTGGAGACTTCTGGTTTCCAGTTTGGTACGTAAGGAGCTTGGAAGCCACCACACACTCAGTCCAAGCAAGAAATAAAAAGTTGAACTGACTGGAAAATCAACAACTCTTCTTGTCAGTTTTACCTTTGGGAGCTTGACCAGATTTTCACACTAAATATTCATTGAAAAAGCCCCTTGTGCTTCCAGCAGAGGGTACGAAATGCGTTACTCTGTTCCTCTTAACAAGGCCTGCCCTCAAAAGAAACTAGTGAACCAGAGCCTAACCTGCAGAGCTTTATCTAAGTCTAATGGACCTAGGGGAAGGGAAATATCCATCTATTGCCCGGTCTAGCCATCCTGTCAAGGTGGAACTGAGAAGCACTTGTGAAGTTCACAGTCCAGAGGCACAGGCTCCCTAAATGACTGAGACCTAATTAGGTGTCTGTGGAATGTTTTTCCTCCCCACACCCGACCAACTTATTACCAACTTATTACCTACTCTGAAGAGGAATGTTGTTAATGAGAAGATTGTGCATGTAACAGGTCAGGGCACATATGAGAAATCTCTGTACCTTCCTCACAGTTTTGTTGTGAAGCTCAAGTTGTCTAAAAAAATAAATATTTTTTTAAATTGAATGCAAATTTTTTTTCCTTGGGAAGAACAAACTTTCTTCCTCCTTATTCCTGAGTAATGCATAACGTCTCTGGACGTCAATAGTCCCTGGAGAGACCAAGATGAGAAAAAGAAAGTCTAGAATTGAGTGTAAGTTTACCACATAAAGACTAACAAAAACAATCCATAATTGACTTAATTGAAGAATAACGTTTTCTGCCTTAAGTATAATGGAGGTTGAAAACCAAATTAAGTTCAGTTAGTTTTGAGGCTGCTAAATTTATGACTGACACCTGCTTATGGACTTCTAAAATTGTTATGCAAATATAAATGACACATGTGTAGATAGTGCAAGAAAATAAAATACATGCATAGGTTATTATGAATGCAGCTAGAGAAGCCAAACAATAGCTTGAAAAATTATAATTAAGTCTAAAAAGGAGTTCTTTCTTTCTTTGGTAACCCTTGGTACTAAAATAAGAGAGTACTGAGAATGGATAAATATTTAGAGATATCTTTTTAAGGAGTTCAATAATGTTAATATAGCAAGTTACTTCAAAGTTTTCAAATGATCCTTTCAAAGAAGGAAAATAGAATAATAAAAAGTTACTCATGCCGGTGTTTAAAGAATAAATTGGAAGTTTCTGATAATGGTGGACTAAGAAATTCAGATCTGGGAAAAACCTAAAAAAGACATCTGTTTGAAGACAATGGAAAGCTAAAAATGCAGTGAAGAATTACAGTCAAGAAAAAGAAATCCAGAGAAATGACCCTGGCATTTTTGATGTTTATATCCTAGTAACATTTGCTTATTCTAAAGTATGGCTGAGAGCCTGAAAAATTTGTAGAGAATAAAAATTGGAATTCAGTTCACTAAAGGGAAGTCCCCTGGTCAGCCCTAGTCTTCAGGCTTTCAGTTGTAAACTAAAAGTACTCTAAGAACTGGAAATTGATCACTTTTTTAGAAATTGTAGCCTAGCTGTGAATCATAAGAATTCATAATGTGTTAAGGTAATCTAGAAATATTGGGGCCCTGTCTATCAGAAGCAAAAGTAAAGCCTCTGTGGAGGAGGGTCAAATCATCCAAGATGCTAGAATTAATGCTCAAATTTTCCAGTGTCACAGGATGAGTCAATATACAATAATAAATGACATTTTTATGTACTAGCATCAAACAATTGCAAGACGAAATTGAAAATATCATATCATTTACAATATTATGAAAGTATAATACTTAATAATAAATATAAAAAATATGTTCACATTGGCATACACAATATTATTAAGATAGCCACTCTCTCCAAATTGATATGTATATTCAAAGCAATTCCAATCATAATATTAATCAATTCCAATATAATTCTAATCATAATATTCTGGATTCTTTTTTTCTAGAAATTTTTATATTAATTCTAAAATTTATAAAGAATTAAAATTACAGTCACCAAAACAATTTTTTTAGTGTTGTAGAACTTATACTATCTAATTGCAAGACTTATCACAAAGCTGCATTAATTAATTCAGGCAGTGTGTATTAGCATAAAAAAGATGTTTAGATTCATGAAACAGTACAGAGTCCAGAAATAGACCATACCTATGTAGTCAATTGATTTTCAACAAAGATGCTTAGATAATTCCACAGGGTAAAGGATTGTTTTAAAATAAGGGCAACATTATGAAAAAAAGATAACTGCTACATTACATTATATATAAAATTTAATTTGAAATGATTAATAAATCTAAAACTTAAAAATTTCTATTAAACAACAGAAAATCTTTCTAACTTTGGGGTAGGCAAACACTTAGAAGAGACAAAAAAAAAAGAGTGACTATAAAGAAAATGTTGATAAAAGAAATACCATGAAAATTAAGATCTTCTACCCATCAAATAAAACTTGAGAAAATGGCAGACAAGATACTAAAGAGGACAATGTTTACAACACATATATCTGACAAATGATGCTTTTCTGAAATATATGATAATAATTCTTCTAACTCAATAAGACTAACAACCTGATGAAAATTAGACAAAACTTCAACAAATGCTTCTCAAAAGAAAATATAAAAATGACCAATTATCTTATAAAAAGATGTTCAGCATCATTAGTCATCAGATAAATGCAAATTAAAATAACATAAGATACCATTTAATAGTCACTAGAATGACAAAAATTAAAAGAGGGTCATTATCAAGTTTTGGCAAGATTGTGGAATAATTAGAACTCTTACATATTGCTGGCAGTAATAGAAATGACACAACCACCTTTCAAAAAGAGACTGACAATATCTTATAAAGTGAAAAATATGCTTAGCATGTGACTAGCAGTTCCACCATTATGTGTTCATTTACTCAAGAGAAAGGAATATAAGAATTTCTGGACACAGGATAGTCTATGAAATTCATCACATTAAGATTATAGTAGCCTGTAATTCCGGCTACTTGGAAGGCTGAGGCGGAAGGATCGCCAGAGCCCAGCAGGTCGAGGCTGCGGTGGCCGGAAGCGGCCACTGCACTCCAGTCTGGGTGACAGAGTGAGACTTCCACTCAAAAAAAAAAAAAAAAAAAGATTATAGTAGATGCTAAAAAGCATTTAGTGAACTTTAAAATCTATTTATGATAACAACTCTTGATGAAGTAAGACTAGAATACAGTTTTCTTAATCTGATAAAAATACATAGAGTAAAACCTACAGAAAATGTCATAGCTGATAATGAAAAAATTTTCAAAAGCTTTTCTGCTGGGGCTGCTAGATATTATTATATACCTTCATCATCCATATCAACATTGTATTGTGGGTCCGACTAGTCTAATATGGCAAATGTGGGAAAGAAAAGTAAAAAGATGAGTAAGAGGAAAAATAAAACTCCTATTATTCTCATTTAATATGATTTAATACCTAGAAAAATAAAATAAATTTTCATGTAAATTATTAGAATTAATCAATGAATTTAGCAAAGTTTATTTGAGTTAAAATCAACTTTTAAAATTATTGTATTGATATAGACCAACATAGGAGCAGACCTGACACTTTTCACTGTCATCATTGTCAATAGGCATGTACAGCGCACCTGATGATTAAATAAAATGACATATTTGAATAATTCCTGTAAGCATTTCTTGTAGAGTAGGTCTAGTGGTAACAAACTCCCTCAGCTATTGTTTATCTTGAAATGTCTTTAATTTCGTTTTCATTTTTGAAGGACAATTTTGCTGTATGTAGAATACTTGACTGATTTTTGTTTTTCTTGTTAAACATATCAACCCACTACCTTCTGGCCTTCACAATTTCTGATGAGAAATTTTCCGATACTCTTATTAAGAATCCTTAGTATGTAACAAATCACTTCACCTTCTGCTTTTGATAGTTTGATTATATGTCATACTGTGGGTCTACTTGGAGTTTCTTGAACTTATTGGGCATTACAGATTCATATCTTTCACTAAATTTGGAAACATTTCAGCCGTTATTTCATAAACTATTCTTTCTGGTATTTCTCCTTCTTCTGACAATGTTCATCTTGGTCAAATTGACGGTGTCCCACACATTCCTTAAGCTCTGTTCACTTTTTATTCTGCTTCT